ATGACTCCGGAACTACGTTTGTTAATAAAGCTGAAACATGTCTCATGGAAACAAATTTACAGATATGGCAGCAATTGTTGGGATTTGTTCAGGTCGTTGAAAGACAGGATAAGAAAGATAACAAAAGATTTACATAAACAACGCTTGAACGAAATTGCAAAGGGTTTCAAATCAAACCCGAAATAGTTTTGGAAACAATTGAGAAATGTTACGATTATCAAAGATGGGATTGGTTCTTTGCAGCATGATGGCATGCTGGTTTCGGGTGACAAAGAAATAGCTGAAATTTTAGCAGATTACTTTGCGTCAGTTTTTGTAAAAGATTTGCCATTTACAGATGACGGTACTTTTAATGGCCCTTTGCTTCCTGAAGGTGGTATGCAGGAGTTGATTATTAATGAGATGATGGTAAATGATAAACTTAAAAAAAATCAATCGAAACAAGTCACCTGGTCCTGACGGGGTTCATCCTAGGATTTTGTTTGAATCAAGAGATATGTTATCCAAGTTACTTGTTCAGCTGTTTAATTGGTCATTAAATACGGGTGATATTTCAAGTGATTGGAAGACAGCTCTGGTGGTACCATTACATAAAAAAGGTAATAAAAATTTGGCAGCCAATTACAGACCAATTGCACTAACGCCAATATGTTGCAAAATAATGGAATCAGTTATAGCTGATCATATTAAAAATTATTTTTTAAGCAACCATCTATTCATAGACAGACATTCTTGCTATGGCGGCCGAACGAGTTACACGTGTTTCTGAAATTGTTTGTTATTTGTTGAATAACTTTGACAAACTCGAAAATTTAAAGTTTTCTGAATATTGTCGAGGAATTTTATAATGTTGAGGATATAAAAAGTGGAAAAAAACTTTTAAACTTAGATTTGGAAACTTTAGATAAAGGTAAAATTAAATCCACGCAACGTGGTAATAGTAAGCAAATTTGTAAAATAAATAAAAAATAAATAAATAAATAAAAACAATATGGGTTCCTCCCGTCTCGTTCAATCACATTGAAATTCGTTGATGAGGTAACGGCGTCATTGGAAGCAGGTATGAATACAGATATTGTTTATACAGATTTGGAGAAAGCTTTTGATACAATTTCCTATTCTAGGCTGTTGTTCAAATTAAAAAATATATAAAGTTCAGAACAAGATAATAAAATGGATAAAATGGATAGGGAAAGAGTTAATTTCGTGTTAGAGTAAATGACCAACTTTCAAGTGCTAAACCTGTTGCTAGTGGTGTTCCCCAAGGAGGAGTACTCAGTCCACTTTTATTTGTGATTTACGTCAACGACATTCACTCAATTAACAACAATATCTTTTTATGCAATATCTTTATATGATGCAAAGATATTTGGTTCAATATCTGTTCCACAGGATGAGGCGGTGTTGCAAGGTTGTTTGGATAATGTAATGATGTGGTTCCACAGATGGAGTTTGAAGGTTAACGTCAGTAAATGCAGTTTGTTGACAATAGGCAGATGTTTGTCAAGGGAATATTTATCACTGATTCAGATGATGTAGCTCAGGCCTTGCCAAGGGTGAAGAGTATATCTGACCTGGGTGTGATAATGGATGATCGCCTCCAATTCAAAGAGCATGTTTTGAGTCAAATAAAAAAAATCAAACTCCATGTTAAAAATACTATCAAAAAATTTTAGTTGCCTGTCTGACAAAGCTTTCATCTGTATCTACAAATCGTTGGTTCGCTCACGACTGGAATTTGCTGTTCAAGTTTGGTGTCCATATAGAAAAGGTCTAATAAATGAATTGGAAAAAGTTCAGAGAAGAGCTACCAAAATTCTAAAGTCCTGTAAAAATCTGGAATACAGTTTGAGGTTGGTGAAATTAAACCTCCTTTCCCTTAATTACCGCAGAATCAGAAGAGATTTAATCCTGGTCTATAGAATGCTTCACGGCATGGTGGACCCTGCGATTTGCCCTCAGTTGTGCGGTAGGGCTGATGTCAACACCAGGGGTCATCAGCTCAGATTGTGTACTCGACTGGCCAGAAAAGATTACAGGAAATATTTTTTCTCGAATCGAGTTGTTAGCCCATGGAATGCATTGCCAGAGGATATTGTTAATGCTCCGTCATTGGTTATTTTTAAAACTAAACTAGACTTATTTTATGGTGACGCAAAAAATTCTATATTTTTATTTTAGTTTGTCTTGTGCCTGATGTTTATTATGAATTATTTGCAAATGTACGTACCTGTAATAATCAATTTTCGGAATTTGCATATTTTTCAAACATTGACAATTGTCTTAAATATTGACTCTTTAATTTTTATTGGAATTTGTTCTGATTTATTTTTGTTATGTTATTTCAGTTTTGGGCAAGGGGCATTGCCCAAGCCTTTTTTCTTATAATAATAATTGTATTAAATTGTATATTTTAATTTTTATATTTTTTATTAACTCATTATTTATTTCAATTCGTTTGAGAGCTATAACAGCTGATAAGGAATCTGACACAAAAACATAGTTTTTGTTGTTTTTTTTTAAGTTGTCTAAAGCTGAATTTATGGCTCGTAGTTCTGCTGTGAAGATAAGTGTATTATTCGGCAGATGCTGTTGTAATTGTTGATTGCCTATAATAGCTGCAGCAATGGTAGATACATTTATTTGGGATCCATCAGTATATATAATTGTATGAGTTTTATATTGAATGAGAAGTTCATTAATTATTGATTTGATTATATTTATATCTGTTGTTTTATTGCATTTAGTGGAGTAGGTATTTATTATGGGTTGATTTAACCTTCAAGGAGGAATAATATCTATAGTTCTATTTAATATATTATTATAAAATAAATTAGTATGATTTTGTATTCGGAGACTAGTGTTCTTTTACAACTATTCTTTCCACCTAGAACACAGCACTGAAGTCATTTCTCTGAATTTTTCCCATCCTACGTTTATTCTATTCTTCTATTCTCAACCGCTCTATCCAATTCACCCTCCTTACTTAGTATATCACCTAGTTAACAAAAGAACCCCTTCTTTCAAATTACAAATTTTCCAGGTGCCTAGTATCACCATTTCGCTTAGTGGTATCTTTCAACCAACATTGTTTACAAGCAAATTCCTTGCTGTTTTTGAGGTCTCCTTTTAAATCACTGCATCGTTTGTGCGTCCATTATTCACTATTCACATTTTACACATATTATGAAATTTCCTCCGACTCCTTTACCACACATCGCACAGGAGAATTACCACATTCAAGAGTATCAGAATCCACTCTGTTCTACATAACTTTGCTTCTACCAGCATTTACCATGAAACCATTTCTTTCCATGGATATTTTCCAAACCGAGACATTTCTTTTAATTCTAAAAATCAGGTTATCAGCATATAATATTTCCGATGGCAACCCACTTCCGATCTCCCTACTAATCATTTTCATTACTATAATAAAGAGTAGATGTAAACCCACTTTAATATCAAACCACTTACCTTATCTCAAACTTTTTCTAGATCTACAAAAGCATAATAGAAAGTTTTCTTCTTGACTCTGAACGTCTTTTGAATTTGCCTAAAAAACGTTAAATATTCATTTTATATACATATCCAACAATGAATGATTACATCATTACCAACTTGACGTCTTGATACTAACTTCAATAACAATGAAGAACAATGAAATGACAACAAAGATGAAGAATACGACACAAACTAAATTACTCACTTTGCCAAAAATAACTTTGCTTTGTTTAAAGAAATTTGCGAACAGGACATCTTCTTAGGACATCTTGAGAGCATAAAGTTTAGAGACAATCCGGAATTAAACCCAAACATTTATGCCAGATATGTTGACGATATCTTCATCGCATACGATGATCCAGGACAATTCAACCAGCAACTCTGATCTAATCAAAATTGAATTTCACTGTCGAGCACGAAAGTGAAAATTCATTACCATATCTGGATGCTTTGGTAACGCAAGACGAACAACGATTTACAACTATCATATACGTAAAAACCACAAATATAGATATTTGTTTAAATGGGCTAAGTAAATGCATGGAACAATTTAAAATAAGTACAATAAAATCCTTTGTGAACCGTGCATTCATGCATTCATTCTCAACTGAGGATCGCAATACGGAATTACTAATCTACTAGTAAGCAATGTCTACCAAACATCGTCCATTGAAAGCATCATTCAACAGAGACTATAACCATATATATATATATATATATTCTATAAATTCTACCGAATGTTTGGCGTTAATATGTTTGTAGTTCGTTTTTTCAACTTTCCTCACTAAAGTTTTTTGGTGAACGTTTAGTTTATTAAAATTCAAATTAAACTTATTTTCCGAATTCATCGAATTCATGCTGCAAATAAGGCCATATTTCGATTCCGAATGAATGAATCAGTGCTTTCTGACGTTTATATAGGGATATATTGACTTTGTCAAAATGAACTTAGTGTCTGACACCTAACTTCCATCTAAGTTCATTTTGACAAAGTCAATCTCCATCTAAGTTCATTTTGACAAAGTCAATATTTCCTTATATAAACAACAAAAAGCACTGATGATGATTCATTCGGAATCGAAATATGGCCTTTTTTGCAGCATGAATTCGGAAAATAAGTTTATTTTGAATTTTAATAAACGAAACGTTCACCAAAAAACTTTAGTGAGAAGAATTTAAAAAACGAACTACAAACATATTAACGCCAAACATTCGGTAGAATTTATAGAATATTGTAAAAATATATATATATATACATGAAAAACTTTTACATTTGACCATTTTATTAAAAGAACTAACCACTGATTCTCAAGAAATTCTATGAATTGTTCATATTTTTTTTTACAAAAGTTATAGTCTATCAATTTTATGTATGAATCATCTTACAGCTTGATAAGAATAATAAAATCGAAAACAATAATGCATCGTTTCAAATCAAACAACAATTTTATTTAACAAACTATTTATAGATTTTTTTTATTACAAATTCAGTCGATTGATTATCTATCAATTTCTCCAAACACGGCATCAATGGTACCTAGGGATGAATTATTAAAAATAACGATATGATTTTCTTTTTAAAAAAAAGCAATAATGATTAATATCTCGATGGGGCGATTAAGGATTAAAAAGTTCAAAACTCGGCAAGCGATCCTGGAGTGATAAAAAACGTAAGTTAATAGTGAGAAAAAGAAAGAAAGTGAAAAATTAAGTTTCTTAAAGAAAGATTTAATTCTTACAGCGCTCTAAACCACTGTAAAACATTCTGCTTTTTACATTTCTCCATAGAATTTATATATGCTAAATTCAATTTTGGTGTTAAAAAAAGCGAAGAGTTTGTTATTCAGAAGATTTGGTGGAAATTGTTAATACGTGGTAAATCCTAACGCCGCAGAGGTAAAATTATTTCACTACGTATTTATCCAAACATTTTCTTTTCTACTTAACCAGTGCCACACTGCCAAACTGTACTTTCCAATTTTTCAAAGAGGAATCAGCCATCTTCGGCAAATGGTTGAAGATTATGATTACGATTTTTAAAATGCGGTTGAGGGAAAAAGGTTATGCCTCCCAAACCATGAAGCCAACAGTAATACATGGCTAAAACCCAAGTTTAGTTTTTAGATAAAGTCTTAATTAAAAATGGGGTGCGAAATGTCTTTCAAAGTTGTTACTCATCTTGACAAATCCAAGAAAAACATGAAAGTTTAAGCAGAAGGGCGAGGTGAGCCAAGTTGGAATGATTTTAAAAATACAGTTAAAATATTAGAAACATAGTATTATTTAAAAAATTCATATTAAAAAATTTTCAAAAGAGAACAATTTTTAACCAATGGCGGTGACCACATCTGCCAACATTAGTCCTTTAGTTAATTTATGGAGACCAGCCTGGCGAATTGATAAAATAAATTAAAAAACTAGGTGTCATTAAAATATTCATATGGAAATTTTGAAAAAAAAAAAATTGTTTACAAAATAGACACGAAAAATTGTTTTACACAATTAGAAATAATCAAATTTAAATAAAATGTTGACCAGGTGAGCAAATCCAGGTGCTTTAATTTTGCATCTGTACGGTCTGCTTGATCCATCTGATACTAAATATACACCAAATTCACCCTGTTGAACAAAATTTTTTTGCAATGATGTCTTAAAGCAGCAGCTTTTTATACCACAATAACTGAAAACCATAAGAACGCCAACAATTTAAATGCATATACTTATGATAAATATAAGCCATTTTATAGCTGATAAATAAAATTTTATAAAGAATTGGCTTTGATATCTCAAACTACAACAGAGCAAGTGATGAGCTATCTCAAAAAAACATGAGAACAAAAAACTATAAAAATAGTTATGCAACCAAAATCGTAAGGAAAGAACACTCTGGAATGCTAAAAATGTACGGGTAGTCAGATAAAGAAAACCAATTGCAACTGAGTATAAATTAGTTGGAGCTTCATAGTTGACAGAGAAATTTTGTCTACATATTTTTCAACGGTGAAAAATCAATTTAATTATTGTAGTAGTAACAACAAGGTAAGAGCTTAAGAGCATTATAAAATGACTGATAACAATCAGCTGGATACATGATTCGTCAAGAAGACAAATGAGTGCAATAAATATAAAACATAAATCAAAATAACCTTAGGAGCCTCAATGGCTGTGTATGTGGAACCAGGAGGGACTTGATAGCCTTCCGAGTAAAGTTTGAAATGGTGAATTAGTGCTTCCATGGATGACTAATATAAACAAAGGAAAACAATTCATGTTAAGTAAATCATATCATCAAATTAGGAACAACATTTTAGAAAATAAGTAGAATCAGTGACATCAACGATAGTACATGCTGATCCACGCGTCGTTTGATCAAGAATGTATCGTTGGCTGCCAAGCTGTTAAAATAAACTAACAATAGTGAAAATTAATTAATATGTCGTAAATTTTATCAATCAATCTTCGTTTTGCGTCCAGAGTCCCGGTACCCGAGGTAGGACGTTGTTTTACACCTGACTTAATAAAAAACTACAAATAATTTTATCCTGGGTAAAATTTGTTTGCACCATAGTACATATTAAAACTGTTTTTAGATGATTAAAGGTTTTACTGGGTTCTATATTTAGAAGAAAAAATTCTTAATTATGATTTTGTTACGAATTTTGTAATCAATATAACAAAATATATGATGTGTGAAGTCAAAGTGATGAAAGAGATACGACATCTCATGTGGCGACGTGTGGCCAGGACTCTCAAATCGTAACAAAAAGAGAACCATTTCGGTAGTTAAATAAATAATTGAAGAATATTAGTGAAAGATAACGAAAAATTCATCTTACAACAACGAAATAATCAATAAACGGTTTTTAGTGGAAGTTTGAGGTACTAGCTGGAATAAAACCATTAAAAAAATCAATAGCAATTTATTTTGAAACGAAAACAACGAAAAACTTGTAAATATAACCAGCCATATCTCTGAAAATAAAATAAACATATAAGATATAAGACCATACAATAAAATTTGTAATACCTTCATTTCGGCTCTTTTAGGCGGGGCAACCTTGCAATCATCGATTCTGACTTCTCCAGCTGGCATCTTGTCCAAACATTGTAGAACAATCCTCAAACTTTGTCGTAATTCTTCCATACGTATTAGATATCTTTGACGATACGTAAAATAAGATTTAGTCTTTGTAACGTTTTGAATGTAATTTTAAAATTATTAAGATAAGATTTAATTAATTACTCTTAACAATTCCTACCTGTCATAACAATCTCCTTTCTTGCCAATAGGAACATCAAACTCCACTAAATCGTACGCATCGTATGGTTGAACTTTCCTTAGATCCCACTTTATTCCCGATCCCCGCAACATAACGCCACTAAATAGAAGATAATTAAAACTAAAAATTAGATATGAAATCCATTAAAATCATTCGTATCTTTAATTTTTCTGTAATTTAATTCCATCGACCATCTATCACTTTTACCATCAGATAAATTGTAAGTTAGTTGTTAATAATGAATGAATGGTTTGACAGGATATTCGTTCAATTTAAGTGATTTTGACAAATTACAAAAACTTTCAGATAAATTGATTAAGTAGAATTAGAACAATTTTTTTAAAAAGTGAGGTTCAAATCAATGAAATTATCCACTGATAACATTGCAAAAGTGAGAAACAAAACAGAAACTATATTTGCTTTTAATGTACTTTATAAAATATCAGAGATCGACCTGAATCCATAATTGAGAGCATCTGAGGCAGATATAACCCCAATGTCCATCGTGCGCTGCTTCCAAATTCGATTTTCAGTCAACAAATCATCAACTTCATTAATGACTTGCGGGAAGATTTGAGCCCACTTGAATATGTCATCCATCAAACCAAGTGGTAAATCCTGTTATTCAAAATATTCCTTTCTTTGAAACAAAAGTTGTTTGTCGTAGGAGGCAAAAAGATAAATATTAATAACAAAGAAAGGACTTGAACAATATTGAACAAAAAGCAAAATGATCTACAAAAACGATTACATTACATCACAATGGATTTGAAGCGTATGGAAGGGATACTTCTACACGTAATAATGGATTGGCAAAGAAATATAAAAAAAGGAACCAGAATCTGAGTTACCAATCTTACAAACCACATAACATTCAACTCTTTAATCAACGATTATTATGATTAACTCATTAATACTCCAAATTCATTCTATTTTTTTTTTATTAAATCTTGATTAATTCTTAATAAGTTGGACTATTGAAATAATCTCAAAAAAACCGAAAAACATCGTGTTCATGTTTATTAAACCATCCTCAATTTCAGGGTAGGCTGCGTCATAAACATGCTGATTGTGTTGATGGGTTGTGAAATATAGTCGTATTGATGCTTTTTATTGATTAAATCAATCAATCAATCAATCAATCAATCAATCAATCAATCAATCAATCAATCAATCAATCGATTGATTTTATTGATTGGTTGCCATGTTGGTTGTATTGTTTGTTAATAGTAAAAAGCGGACGAAATTTTTAAATGTGTTACTTTTTTAGAAAATGAATCTAGACTAATTATTTAAACTTTCACAAAGAAATTTTAAGTTTCTCTTAAAATTTAAAATCTGCACACAAACTCCATACTTAAAGCAATAACTTCAAGGAACTTATACAATGAGATACACTACATTACAAGCACATTCCAAGTCAATTCCAGTTCAGCAATCATTAACGTAAGCATTACACATGCCATCATTTCTAAACAATAGAATAGCAAGACACTCTAGAAATAAGTGAACTTGGTTAGCAGAAAGAATGCATTAAAATGAAACATACTCGATCTACACCTCCTGGCCTGATGTAAGCTGCATGCATCCGGGCTCCTGAGACTCTCTCATAAAACTCCATCATCTGTTCAAAGGTTTAATAATAACAAATGCATTGAATAAATGAATGCTGAGTTGCTTGAATATGAAAATTTGAAAGACGAAGCATGAAAAAATTTGGCAGAAACGCCTTGGTAATAAAATTAATTTGTAGGCTTTGAAAACTTACAAATTAAACAGAGATCAAGAAAAATATTTAATTTTAAATAAATCTAATAAGTGTAGCAAAGAAATAAAGAAAAAATCTATTGAAGTAAAATTAAAAAGCATGTAAAAAAAGGAATTACATTTTTCTATTTTTTAGCAGTCTTTATTCTCAATCAATCAATCAATAAATCAATAAATCAATCAATAAATCAATCAATCAATAAATCAATCAATAAATCAATCAATAAATCAATAAATCAATCAAAAAATCAATCAATCAATCAATCATCGTTTAGCGTCCAGAGACCTAGTTCTCCCGAGGAAGGACGTTGTTTTCTTTGCCATCAATTTTTTGCGATCAGTTGTATCCATTTTATTTAAATTTAGAGCTTTCATGTCTTGCTCGATTGTTTGCCACCAGGACTTCTTTGGATGGCCTTTCGGACGTGTGCCAAGTACTTCAACATCTGCAAGAGAAGTTATGGCACTGTTTCCGCTTCGTTTGACATGACCAAACCACCTCAGACGGTGTTGCCGGCATTCGTCCTTTATATCATCTAAACCAGCACGACGCAGGATTTCGGTAGATTTGATGTGGTCCTTCAGATTAATTCGTTGCATTCATCGGAGCATTTTCATATCGGTTCGGTGAAGTTGTTGTTCCATTTTGGTTGTCATTGGCCATGTTTCTGCACCATATAACAACACCAGACGTATCACAGATATATAAAGTCTTGATCGTAGTGGATGTGGGATGTCACGCCGCATCAATCTAGAGGCAAGGAGATGCTACTTATTCCAGGCTGCATGTATGCGTGCTCGAACAGCAGCTTCAGCTGTTCCAGTACAATCCAGAACATCCCCTAGATATTTAAACAATGTGATTTCTCTACCTTAATGGCTTCAAAAACATTGCTATTTCGAATTTGTTGTTGTGGATTGATGCAAGCAGGACAAACAAAGTTGGACACTTTAGATAAATTACCAACTACTTTTGAACAACGTTTGTGACACCACTGGTTACACTGCTGAAACTTGATTGAATTGTTTCCTACACCAGCTTTACAAACTGAACAGGGCCATCTTCCAGTAGCTGTAGATTGAAGGGGTTCACCAGTGGTCATTGCTTAGGTGTTGCTGATGTTGACTCAGAATCCACGATCGGCCAGTCTGGTGTTCCAATCTTCAAACATCTGTGCTGCATTCTGCTCAGACGTGGCTGTTAAAATGATATCATCAGCATATATTAGATTCCAAATGTCACCAGTGTGTATTGGTTTTGTGATTGCTTCCATCACAGTTATAACTTCCATCACAGTTATAAAGTCTTTATCCTCAACACTGGTTTTTATTACCTTTCATATCTTTATTTATTATTCCTATTTTATTATTCATTTAATTACTCTTCCAACTGCCCTACAATCATTTACTCAGTTCAGCCCTTCATTTACTTCTTATCAAAATTTTCTATAGATTTAATAATTTCCAATTTATTCCATAATTTGATAATTTATTTGACTCCCCGAAATAATTTTACACTCCTGTATATTTTTTCATACAAGTAAAAAACATTCTTCGAAGTGCATTAGCCATAGTTTGTATTATTTGTATTTATTCATTATTATTCCTTTTCATCATTAAGATCCTTTTCATGCTGAATTAATTCTGGCATGCTGTAACAATCTACGCACATGTCGACCTGACTGTTATAACGAACAAAACAATGTACAATGTACATGCAGATTTATATCTATATAGTATGATACTAGTAATGAAGGAATAAATCGCCAACATTCATAATGTGTCGTCCATTATAACTATTATAACCATTATAATCAACTAAGCACAGCAATTACCTTATATTTCATCTTATCATCATCAATAATAATAATTATTATTAAAATAATAATTATAATAATACATGTTATTATTATTTTCAGCATCATAACAACCTTCTCTCTTTCTTCAAACATCCAGAAGAGAGGGGTCATGGCTCCAATATCGAGGGCATGAGCAGCAACTCCGAGCAAGTGGTTCATGATTCGAGTTAGTTCGCCAAATAGTGCTGTTGTGATAGCCATTAGTTACCATCATTATCTTAATAATAATACAACTAACAAAAAAAACATTGGCAACAGTGAACACAGCTATCAACACCCAACTACTTAATTTCTAAAAGTCTTTCTATTTGTACCTAAACCAATCCTTTATTTAAACCATTTTAATCTATCTTGTCTCTCACATTCAACAGTCAATGTACAAATTCTTATTAACAAATCGCTTTCGAAATTTATCCTTTCATGTCACATTTTATGTCACATTATCTGCACTTTCTGAATTTTGCAATAAGATCTATCTCATACTCTCCAATCCCGTCTCTTCATGCATCATCAAGTTTTTGTTAACTATAAAATTGGAATATGTACAAATTCCTCGCTGTATTCCATTCATTATTTTACTATACACATTGCTTTGTTTTTTGTAATTGTTTCCTTCGTGCTTGTAACTCTATGGCTGCATTTTCAAACAACTTTTTGTTTGCACTACCAAAGCCACAATAAAACAATGTTTTTCAACGCAGGGTGCCTCTTTATCTCCCAACTACTTCATTATTCTTTAATATCTTTCTTCAATTGCTTACTACAAATATTGTGCATCAGATTACATTTTCATTTACAAGCACATTCCAAGTCTATTCCAGTTCAGGAATCATTAACGTAAGCATTACACATGTCATCATTTATATCCACTTTAAAAAATGCTAGTTATCATTTTCCCAAATGAAGAATTGGTCTGTTATGAGTTTATTTCCAGAATAATAAAGATGTGTTTAATAGTCTTTAATAGCTTAATAGTTTAATAGCCAAAAGAAGGCCAAAAATGATGTTGAAATTTTTGTCAAAGAACCTCTAGCCCAAGAAGTACTGGATATTAAAAGGATTAACTCACGTCTCATGTGGATCAAGATTCGCCTAGAAAAGCAAACAATGACTATTTTTTCTGCATACGCTCCACAGACAGGCGAATCAGAAGAGATGTAAAATGACTTCTGGGCTGCATTCTCTGACACCATCTCAACAATACCAAAATCTGAAACAATCCTGATTGGCCATCTCAATGGCCACGTTGGAGAGAAAACAGATGGTTTTGACAACGTACATGGTGGTTTTGGCTATGGAGAACGGAATGAAGAACGGCTACCGCATCCTTGAGTTTGCTGAAAGTCACGGGTTTTGTTTACTGAACACATATTTTAAAAAGAGGTTGGAACATCTCATAACATACAAAAGTGGACCATCATACACGCAAATTGATTTCTTCGCTGTCAAGCAACAGCACCGAAGGCTATTCAAAAATGTCAAAGTTATACCTGGCGAATCATGTGTCGCCAAACATAGACTCCTTGTGGCAGACCTGGTTGTCAAACTGTCAAAACATAAGTCTAAACAAATGCCTCGGAAAATCAAAATGTGGAACTTGAAAAGCAATATTCATCGAGAAAAATTTCAACAGATTGTCGCCACACAGTTAGACCACCAATCGCAATCCAGTACAGATTGGAGTACATACAAAACCGTTTTGATAAACGCTGCAACTACAGTTTGTGGGAAAACTGGTACTAAACGCCAGCATGAACGGGACACTTAGTGGTGGAATGACAGTGTACAAAACGCAATAGCTGAAAAGAAAGCTGCATACAAGCAATGGCAAAAATCAAAGTCTGTTGATGACAACAAAATTTTCTGTGAAAAGAACAACTATGCAAGACGTCAAGTCGCACAACCAAAATGGAACAACAACTTCACCGAACCGATATGAAAATGCTCCGATGAATGCAACGAATTAATCTGAAGGACCACATCAAATCTACCGAAATCCTGTGTCGTGCTGGTTTAGATGATATAAAGGACGAATGCCGGCAACACCGTCTGAGGTGGTTTGGTCATGTCAAACGAAGCGGAAACAGTGCCATAACTTCTCTTGCAGATGTTGAAGTACTTGGCACACGTCCCAAAGGCTGTCCAAATAAGTCCTTGTTGCAAACAATTGAGCAAGACATGAAAGCTTTAAATTTAAATAAAATGGATACAACTGATCGCAAAAAATTGATGGCAAAGAAAACAACGTCCTACCTCGGGAGAACTGGGTCTCTAGACGCTAAACGATGATTGATTGATAGATTACATTTTGTTCGATTTCAAATGCATTTTACTAAAATTCTAATGTTTAATGCATTGATGCTATGTTTTTTGAACAAGTTAACTGACACTGCAAGAGTACCTTGTCTTCAAATTTATTTTAAAAACACTTTAATCTGATTTAGCTCAATTGATGTTAGCTTGTGTATGTATGTATGTATGAAACAGTGCCACATTAAGATGAAAAATTACATCAAAAAATATGTTTAAATGATACATTAAAGCATCAAACAATCAATCAGTCTTCGTTTAGCATCCAGAGACCCAGTTCCATCATTACATCCAAAATTACATCAAAAAATATGTTTAAATGATACATTAAAGCATCAAACAATCAATCAATCTTCGTTTAGCATCCAGAGACCCAGTTCCCCCGAGGTAGGACGTTTCATACATTAAAGCATCTTTAGAGTAAAGAAACGGCATTTATATATTTCATCAAATGAGAAACAAATGTATTTTTGTGGACAATTCAACAACGGCTCAATCTAACGTCTATCTAAGACTGCTACACAAACCCATACAAAAAAAGGAACATACCAAGTGAACAAGTACCAACTTCTAATCCATTTTGCCCTGATGGGAATGTCAATGTTGAGTAATTTCTCAACAGCCAGGGAGAACGCCTGCTCATTGCACATCATAGACATGTAATCCAGTCTATCGAAATACGGCAATGCCTACAAAAGGAAAAATTAGTATTTAATAAAATTCATTAAAAAAAAGAATAATGTGGTCTGTAAAAGAAAATAAAATTTTGAAGTAAAACTAAAGCTTGTGGCTTATTTTTTTTCGGTCTTTATTACTGCAGCTCTGACACATGCAGAACCACTTACAATGTTACATATACATTATCTATATATCTTTAATATGTTCTTCATATCTTCATCCATAGATTTGAAGCAGCCAACTACACCACAAAAACTGTTTATCCTTTTCACACGACGGACACATGTATTTATGTCTGATAATTTTAAAGTGATTAGTGGGGTTCCACAGGGCAGTGTGTTGGGACCAATTTTGTTTGTTATTTATGTGAATGATATTTTTTATTTATGTAAGAATGATTCTAATGTTGGGATGTATCTATATGCTGATGACGCTAAATTGTTCAAGTGTATCTATTCTAATGATGATATGGAGGCCCTTCAGGCATGTCTGGATGTTTTTTATGGGTGGTGTGTAAAATGGGAGCTTGGGGTGAATGTGGATAAATGTGTCGTTATGAATTATGGGCGTAGAGCATGTGGTAAGAGATCTTACACTATGAATGGTTTACTTCTTGAAAATGTGGAATTTGTTAAAGATTTGGGGGTGATATTTGAACCAGACATGAAATTTCATAAACACATTTATAATACAATTAATAAGTGTAATATAACTCTAGGATTGATAAATAGACATTTTATGAAATTACCTAAACCTACTTTTTTAATCTTATATAAATCCCTTATCAGGTCAAAGATAGAGTATGCTGCTTCGGTGTGGTCTCCCTGGTCTTTGAAAGTTATAGAAGATATTGAACGGATTCAGAAGAGGGCCACAAGAATGGTGAAGGAATGTATTGGACTCAATTATGAGCAGAGATTAAGACTTCTCGATCTTCTCACACTGGTGTATAGACGAATCAGAGGTGATCTTATCACAGTTTTCAACATAACTAGGAACAGCGTATTATCATCATGTTATCCTGTGTTAAAAAAACCTAACGATGATCGTACCATGGGTCATCCGTTCAAGTTGTCTACTCATAGTTTTAACACGAATCATGGGAAATTTTGCTTTTCCAATAGGGTGGTTGAGTTATGGAACGGCTTGGATGCGGACATTGTGATGGCTAAAGATGTTGAAACATTTAAAATGAAGTTGGATCGACATATGAATTCTACGGACATGATTTTCAAAAGGAGATCCTCGCTTGGCACAATGTCATAGTTTATATATTTATATTATCTTTGACATCTTTGTGGTTAATGCGTGTGTGTGTGGGCTGATGCGTGTGTGAGTGTGTGTATATATGTGTATGTATGTACATATATATATATATATATATATATATATATATATATATATATATATATATATTTGCGTATTATATTATATATATATATATATATATATATATATATGTATATCATTTATCATTAACAATCTGTATTTTCATCCAACTGTATTTTATTTTACTTCATTTATTTCGCGCCTCTCTATTTTCTGTTTATGTTATGTTATGTGCATTATATACGCTGAGTATATGATAGCCATTGAAATGTTTAACTAGGCGTGCATTTGAACTACTGAGTCATCTTGCCGGCCAATACGTCGTCTCCCCATTTACCGACCTCGGAAGGATGGACGGTTGGGTTGGCCGTGGGTCGGCTACCCGGATGAATCTGCAGAAAACTCGGGCTGTGGGAGTAGTAGATGGACTAACTACTCGGCCATGAGACTCCTTTTATAATCAGACATGTTACGTCAGCAGTAAGTAGCAGGCAATGAAAAACAGGATATTTGTTATCGATTAAACCCTACATTGCTGAATAACTTTTAATACCATTCTTCGGAATTATTTTCCTACTTCACCGATTAGGTTATTCAGGAAATTCGTCAGGCTGAACTGGTAACTGTTGATTATTATGGAAAAATGGAAAAGGACAGCTCTTGAAAGGTTCGGTGTACATCGAGAGAACAATTCTCGATGGTTGGCCTCCTTCCACTACAAGTAAACCAATCAAAATTAAAATTGTTAAGATCAACTAGACAACCCGTTCAATTTCGATCTGGCACTTTCTAATACAGCTGCAAATCAAAATTCAACGACATCAGCAACATTTGTCTTTCACCCAGACAATGTTGCCTAATCTCTTCAACTCCTTAAACAAACCTACTCATCTTAAGGCAACAGATCTTTGGCAAAATCCAGTGAAGGCAGCTCAGTAGCTCCATTGAACCAACAACAGATATGGGTCAACAACATGCGAGTTAACGATTTTGACTGTTGCTAACGACTTATCTTACATGTCCCAGAACAATCTTACGCCCATCTGCCAGTCTTTGCGATTTCACTTTTCAGCTATACTTCATTATTTGCTGCAATGGTTCAACAACTAATTGTTTAGGTTGTTGCATTTTTGGATATTTGTGTGGAACTTGATACATTGATCTTATTGACGTTTTAGAATATCAGGTGTGGTAATATTGGTTTGAGACATATTTTTCTGATTGATTCTAACAAATGGTGTGAAAATGTTTGAAGTTTCGCAGGGTTCCATTTTGAGATCCTTGTTAATATTGCTTTACACTGCAAATATTTTTGACGTTAATCAAAGATTTGGCTAAAATACGGCATATTAATGATACACAAATAACTACTAGTAGTTCCACCAGACAGGTCATTCAAGGATGTGGGAGAACTGATTTTATGTTTTGTTTATTGGAAACCGATACCTGGTCTGGATAGTGTTACTCAAAATGAACATAAATAAAGCAGTTTGTACTCGTCGATAGTTAAGTGGTATTCAACAATCATGAAAAGAATTTGCAAGAATTTAAAAACACAATTTAAAAACACAATTTAATAAAAAAATTCATTAGGCCGTGATCGTGTTTTGCCATTAAGGAAGTGCTTTTTTAAAAACTAATAAATTTTATTTTAGCAATGACCACGATGTCCCTAATATTAAAAAAGTTCGTGTTCTTTTAAGCACGTCCTACATCGCAAACTGGGTCTCTGGACGGTAAACAAAGATTGATTGATGTTCTTTTAGGCAATTAAAAAAAACTCCGTTAAATCTTTTAGTCACAATAATTTTTCAAACTTACAGAAATTAGTTCATTTCTAAAACAATAATAACATAATATAATTTACCAATTATTTTTTAAAAATTTTGTTTTTATTTGAAAATGTTCTGTGGTGAAATCTTGATTATTCACATTACATAAAACAAACAACAAATGGAACAAACTTCAAATCTACAATCACAACTTAGTTGCCAAGCTCAAAGTTGCACAAAAATGTTTCTGCCCATATTCATTTCAGGCCACTCCGAGTGAACCGCTCACATACCATACCACTACTAATGCATGCTAAATAAATCGCCCCATTTGTGCGATTTTACTGTACTTATTGCACAAATAAATAACACCTAATCCTAAACTTGTTTCAGATTCAGCCAATTGATTCATTGATTCAATCCATTGATATATAAATCTCTAAAAATAAAAGAATAAAAAGAATTTTTCAGATAACAAATCAACCCTCCACCAAATCTTCATCCAAATGTATTACCCTTCGTGATGCATCATTTTACCTCTAAATGTTTTTGCTAAATTAATTTATGTTTTTTTTTTTCATAATAACCATATCAATCAATCAATCAATCTTCGTTTATAGTCCTTTTCCATTTCGGGTTGGATTTTTGTATTCCTGACATCAACTTCTGTCTCCAAGCCTCTTGATCATTTGCGCCTTCCTGTACAGTTTGACATCTTTGGGCGACCCTGTGGTCGTGTAGCAGTGACCTGATGATTTGTGACAGAGATTATCTTCACTTCACTTTGCTTGGCATGACCGAACCTACATAGACGATGACATCAACATGCATCTTTGAGGACGCACAATCCTGAACTTCAGATGTGTAAATATGGTGAATTGGTTGTGGGTATGTCAGAAATGCATGTTTAGTCAGCATGTTTGAGACCAAACTGGTTCTTAGTTCTTATATAGTTGTGCGCATGGATACATTACTTTTACATAAACATGTTTGAGGGTGCTAAGTAGTTCTTTTTTGGTTATTTAGTCTTGTTAGCTTGTTGTTGGTTCTTTTTCTTTAGGGTTTTATTTCAGGTGCTGTTTTATTGTTTTAAATTGTTTATTTTAGTTATGAATTAGTTGTTCTTTAAAATTTTCGAAATTGTTTATTATTTTAGTTATTAATTAATTATTCTGTTGAAAACATATGAAATTGTTTATTATTTTGGTAGAAAACCGTTAATAATTTACTATTAATTTAATAAACGTGCTTCAATACATAATAACACGATAATTTTTGTTTGACTTTTCTAAAACTTGACAAATAGGTCAGTAAAAGAATTGTTGATGGTTAACAAGGCCAGATCAACCAACTAGCATCAACCAACTGGCAAGCAGGGTGCACTAGTTCTGCCTGGTCCGTGTTTTCCAACCTGGAGACAACCCATTGTGAATAGGTGGGTCCTGAGACCACCTAGACTGGCGACTGCGATTATTAGTGTTTAAAGACAGAGCAGTTTCTGCCAAGCAACGAAAATTCATACATTCATAATTTTGATTTATAAATAAATAGAGTAACGTTTGATGATAAAATGGCAGGTTGTATCGAATTGTTACCGTAAACACAAAAACTATCAAACATATAGAACATAAAAGGCAATTCTAGCTCCAACACACAAATGCCCATTTTGACATGAGTTATGGATGTTCAGCCTTTGTAAAAATGAATTTACAACCCAAACTTATAATTTGTAAATAAGTGAGGAAAGATTTGTAAAAATATTATAACAGCATTTTAAATATGAAAAAAAAAAAGAAAAAAAATTACAGATACCTGGAGATAAGTTTTATTTTCAATGAGCTTTTCTGTTGCTCTGTGCAAAAGTCCAATGTGTGGGTCAGCTCTCACTACTGTTTCCCCATCAAGAGTCAACACAAGTCGAAGTACACCATGGGCTGCAGGATGCTGAGGTCCAAAGTTCATTGTGATATTTTGAACCTTTTTCTCCTTCGGTATAGCTCTTTCTGTAGTTTGCATGATTTGGTGAATATCTCATTACCTCAACAAATTTAACAAATAAAAAAAACAATATAAAATATCAAAAGGTTAAATGAAAATGATCAACAAAATGAAATATTAACTTTAAAAATCAACTATAATTTCAATTAAATACCATGTTATAGTCAAACGACAGTTATCTAATATGATTGTAATAATGAAATAAAAAATAAGTAAAGATGCAAATTAACATCTTCCCGGTCAAATGAGTAATCCATTATGATCTCCTTGCCAAACATTAAATAAATGATAAACATTAAATAATGTTACAATAAACTAATAAACAAACGATTGAATGGGGGAAGGACCCATTTTGACGTATTCTCATCAGGATATAGAATGGGTTTCTTGAACTTTTCATAAAATTCTTTGTCTGGCAGCCAAACACTAGCATCTCTGATAAAAACCATGAAAACAAATTTATTAGTTTTATAACACAATTTCATATTGAAACCAAATTCTGAATTTCTTCTATAAAAAAAATTAATGCGCACATTTTTTAAACTTTTATTTGATGAAATGAATAATTTTAAAAAAATGCCTATTTAGAGTTTTGAAAGTTATTTTATTTTTTATAGTGTCAGACCCTTATTATTATTACTATTTTTATTATTATTATGTACGTTAACAAGAGAGTTGGCCGATTTGTGCAGCTCACTGTTTTCATGCATAATTTTCTATTTTTATTGTCATAATTAGTTTTAAAAAAAGGTTCATTTTGTTCGAAAAAATTGCTAGATTATTGTAGTTTTATTTTAATTAGGTTCCTTTTATATTAGTTTTATTAGTTTAATAACTTCTTTCATGACTGTAGACATGTTCACTTGCCTCCGTAACCATCTTGACACATCTCTCAATACTTTGAATGTGTGAGGGCCAGTCTGGGACTATCATTGGAGTGTGCAAAAATTGTTTGACTTGAGCCGTTGTTAAGCTACAAGTTAGAGGAGATTCATACATTTCAGAATCCCAATGAATGAATTCAAGTAGGCTGCTAGCATCAGGATTGATCTCTGGTGTTACTCTGTCTTAAACTCATATCCCCCATCTGAACATTGGCTGATCTTCTTACCACAGGCATCCCTATCTGCATCACCTCTTTGTCTCGGCTTCTCAAAAGCTCAAGCTGAAAAAGAACATGTCTCGGACCATCAATCCAACTATGCTTTACTTTGATGTTAAACAAATTAGGCATATAAACTCCGACTATAAATTCGACAATCAATTTTAACTTTATTATGATCAATTATAAGATGTTTGTCTTTATCAGTGATGAGGCTAGTATCAATCTAAGCAGCAGTTGCTATTTCACTGTCTCTCTTAATCCAGTGTTTTTTTAGACAGCTGACCACCCTCACATATATACTTATCTGGCCAATTTAGTACCATGAATCTCATTAGTTGCAAAGATCATTCTGGCTCTCGCTTCTATTCTTATCTCACCAGTACTAATTAATGAAATTTTCTTTGTGTTGCTGGTCAAGTATTTTTTTTAATTTTTTACTTTGAATATTTTAAAAAATTTTGGGAGCTCGCCGCGGACCGGTAGTGCTAGTCCGCGGACCACCACTTTGAAAAGCACTGTACTAACTTAAATGTAAACAATAATTCGAAATATTTAAATTGTAACTTTAAAAACATTAATTCTCATAACTTTAAGAATATTAATTTTGATAATATAAATACTAATATACTGTCGTGTTTCTGTGGAAAATGTTGCGAAGGACGAAAGGGTCTGGCAATGCGCCAGCGTTCATGCAAAATGTTCAAAACGCTCAGTGTATTAAGTAACAAGTCAGACGTTGCAAACGATTGTTCCAATTCGCCTCCTTTGATTTTGCCACCGACATCTTCATCATCCGACTCTCGTCCATTTACATCATTTGTGACCTCACCTACTGTCCAAACAACTGAGACACTTCTCCCAGGGGTTAAATTGCCAAAAACGGAAGCGGAATGGACCGAAGCCAATAGCTACTTCAAAATACATCAACACGATTTCTCCAAATTTCAACAACTTAGACAAAAACACCGTCAAATTTCAAAATCTACAATTACTTTGCCACAAATTATTGAATAATTAAATCGTCTTCTACTACGAATCAAAATAATTCAAATGAATCAATCAAAATTTTGAACAATAAATTAAAACAACTCAAGATATTAGGCCACAACAATCATAACTTCGACAAACAAATAAGCAATATAAGTAAAACAATTAGAATAAAATTAAAATCCAAATATTTAACAAGTTTCAATAAAACGAAGAATATTTCATCTGAGCTGAAGCAAAGGTTTGGATGACATGCAAATCATTATTCAATATATCAAAAAAATTGTCTCCTCTATTCAGCTCCAACGATTGTAAAAAATACTTTAAATCAATTTTATGCGATTCTGATTCTGAAAACAATAAATCATCCTTTCCAAATTGGATACCACAAACTTCAAAAGCCAGTCATACAACCTAATACAAATCCGCCATCATACAAAGAAATTTCATTAATCAATAATATACAAATGCAAATCTAAACCTCCCCATGTCCTCTCGATCAAATTTCAATAGTACCTTTTAAAAAATGCCCTATCCTTTGTACAATTTTTCATCAACTCCAGAGCAAATGCTGGTCATCTACAATTTCGTTAAGTTGAAAAAAGGGGTTCACAATTTTAATTCACAAAAAAGGCGACGCCAATGACCCCGACAACTTCAGACCAATTACGCTGCAACCCATTCTATGTAAAATATTTTCATCTTTCATAAACATCAGACTATACAAATTTCTAGAAAACAACAATTTTATAAACAAAAATATTTAAAAAGATTTTTATCCAAAAGAAGATGTTTTAATGGAGCATACCCAACTTTTTTTTAACACATATGTTCAAAGATGCAAAGAGACATCAGAGAACGATCATCATTTCACTTTTGGATTTTCGCAATGCTTTTGGTGAGGTCAGTCATGGCCTTATCTCAGCAGCTCTAAATTACCATCATGTTTCTCCAATAATAACCAAATTAATTAAATCTACATACACAGACTATTCAATATCAATATCGGGTTGTGAAACTTTAACTCCTCCGATCCCGGTCAAACGAGGTGTGCTCCAGGGTGAAATTGCTAGAGAACAATGAATATCAGCAATGTGGTTACATGTGGGGGCCTTCAGCTCATTTAAAATCAAGAGCTTAGTTTCAGTTTACTGACGACTCAGCCATCATCTCCAACAGCACTGACGACGCCCAAAAATTAATTAACCTGAACCAGGTTTGGTGCAAAGCTACCGGGATGAAAATGAGAATAGATAAATGTTGTTCATTCGGTATGAAAAAGAAAAATGGAATTTATAAACAATTCCTGCCGATGCTGACAATTGACGACACCGTTATACCGCAGATTCGCATTGGGGAACATTTCGAGTATTTGGGTAAATGCTACGATTTTGAATGCAGCAACTCAGAGCGAAGGATTTGCTACTCAATAAATTGCAAAACATGTTGCAAACTGTTACAAAGCTTGAAACCACAGCCCAGTGGAAGCATTTACGACATCTCTTTATCCTGGATGGCTAGCAAGTTGGATCCATTGATTACTGATGACATTAGATCCTGGTTGGCTTTGCCAATAAGCAGTTGCTTATCTGAAACTGTGTCACTGCCATACAAATTGGGAGGCTTGAACATCAGATCACTGAAGTACTACGCCGAGTCATTAAGAGTAAAACTTCGCGGCTACCTTAAATCGAGTGGTAATGGAGAAACGAAAAGTCTGTGAAAGAAACATTTAACGACTATATAAAAATAGACAACATGCTCCCAGACTCCAATGATATAAATCCTACTCTCAAGAATTTGATGCTCAACCAGCAAAAAACGCAGTTCACCTATTTAACATCATCAAGTTCCCAAGGGAAAGTTTTGAAGACAGTGACAGAACACATCAAAGCAGATCAAGTTGCTCGCTGGTCAAGATCTACGGCCTTGTTATCAATTTTAGATTTGTTAAGAAAGATATAATCCAGCAACTTCCAACAAATTCAAACCTTGTTAGATAGGGTAGGTCGTCTGAACCAAGGTGTCCACTATGCAACGCACGTCAGACAAACAAACATGTTTTATCCAACTGTAGCTCTGTTGCTGCTTTGAAAAGGTATTCGAATCGCCACAATAAGATCCTTTTGACAATTTTGGACAACCTTAAAAACTGCGCAAATTTTGATGTTTCAATATTTGCAGATTTAGATGGTGAAGATTTTCGCCCAGTGTCTGTACTTTTAAAATCTCTTTATCCAGATACAGCTCTAGTTTGCAATAACACAATCGAAATCCTGGAATTAACAGTATGCCACAAAATAAATTTGTCAAAGTCAAGAGAATATAAAATCAATAAATATTCACAAAACCTTATATTAAATTTAAACAGCAACTACGTTAATTTTAATCTTTTAATAAAAACGCTTGAAATTTCAACATTGGGTTTTTACAATACTTTTAATTTATCATTAGTAAATTTAATTTGGTTGGAACATTTTAAAAACAATTTATTAAACTCGGTTTCATCATCATCATATTCAATATATTGCGATAGGAATATTGCATGAACATTTTTTTTCTAAACTAACATTCTCTATTAGTACTAATTTGTATAAAATGATGAGCGAAGTAGACTACTGATTTCATTAATTTCATTATTATTATAATAATTTTGATTTCAATATATCATTATCATTATTTTAAATTAATTTCATTACATTGATTATTGCCATTATAGATGTTATTTGATTGAATAAAAGCAGTGTCCCCATTATTAAGTAAAATGTAATTAAACTTGTGCTCCGGTTACATTGTTTTCATCATAATAACAAAAAAGGGATTTTTGAATAAAAACATTTTTTAATTCCATGTGAATAAATATGTTTTGTCATCACATGAAAAATATTATTTCTTATTTATTGACATAATAACAGATAAAAATTTAGGCCAACGTCAGAACGGCATTTTCAAACCCCAGATGCTTTAAAACGGTTTCCATAATAAACAACAATAATGTTTCAGACAGTAATGATCTTAGAACTTTAGATTACAATCCAAAATTGCCATACAACAATATAAATGATCAATTTATACAGTTGCAGTGGCTCGCAAAACACTGTTTGATACGTAACAGCAACATGTGTGATAATTGTCAATTTGTCAACAAGAAAACAATGTCCTACCTCAGGGAACCGGGTCTCTGGACACAAAACGAAGATTGATTGTTAAAAAATAAAGTTAATAAAATGTTCCTCATTATTTGCTTACCTTCTAATTACAAACAAAATTAATCTTATAACTTGGGAAAGCCATTCTGAGGTTTACCAAAATTTGTGCATTCCTTCTACATTTTTGATATCAAGCTTATGTTTTTAATCCTATCTTAACCATACTACCCGTAGCTTTCTATCACTATTATCATCTATTATTGACTTTCAAACACCATTACTTTAGTACAATGAATAAATTTTTTGCTAATCAGAAATCAATCGGTTAACAAAGTAATCACTAACTAATTGCATTTTTTGATTTTAATAAGTAACTAACACTGTTCATTTCATTATTTTTTCATTGAATTTAAATAATTAAACATATAATATAATTGTAAATAAATAATTATAATAATAATTTAATCTCAATAATAATTCTAACCTACATTTATTTATTTAATTAATATTAATTTCATTTAATTAATTTATTAATTTTATGTTAGTTTTTCATTCTTTTGTAATCTTGAAGTGAAGGTCATAATAAATGAATCAAAAGTTATAAAAAAAAGGCACACAAACCTAGTACTGGCAAAAAAAACAAACGAATATTTATTAAGAAATGAACATTTTTTGGCCCCACCAACTGATTTTGTAACTGATCGTAAAAATCCGGCCATATTCTCCAGTAAGCAACGAACTGACACTAAAAGTGGAATACTGTTTTGATTTGATTTTATTAATTTTCAATTATATTTTCGATCAATCAACCAATCAATTAGCTTGTAAAGCGCTATTTCCGCGATGTTCAACAGCGCTCCTCAATGAATTTTGCAAACAGATGGGCCTTGAGATCCGCTCTGAACTTCGTAAGTGATGGAAAAGTAGTCAGAAAAGTAGGTAGGGAGTCCCAGAGAAAAGGGCCAGAAAACGCAAAAGCAGGTTTAGCGAGTGTTAAACACGAGTTAAGAAGAAGCGAGAACCGGAAGACGATTGTAAACCGGGGCGTTTAGGTTCAATCAATATATCTGATAAGTACTTAGGAAATAATTTAGATTGAGACTTACCTATACACAAATGTGCCAGTTTTAAAAATTATTCTATATTTTATAGGTAGCCAGTGCAAGAGAACGAGATATGAAGATAGATGAGAAAAAAAGGGGCACGAGCAAGTAGACGAGCAGCAGAGTTAAAAGCTTTACTTAAAGGATAGAGTATAGAATCAGGAAGACCATAGTAGAGCGAGCTACAATAATCAATCCTAGATAAGACTAACGAAGTAACAAGAAGGAGAAGAGTAGGATCATCAAGAAATGGCAAAAATTTTTTTACTACGTAGATAAAAGTAAGAACTTCTAGCAAGACTATTATTCTGAGAAAAAAGAGACATACTAGAATCAAAGATAAAGCCTAGACTACGAAACTTGTGAGAAACGTCAAGAGTTTTAGAATCAGGTAAGATGATAGGAGGAATAAAAAGTTTGTTACTGAGTCCCAAAGAGGTAAAATGAAGATGAAATTCACAGTTGGAATTTGGAATGTGAGGTCACTGTGGCAAGCTGGAACATATGCGATGCTGAAAAAAGAGCTTGAAAGGTTTAGATATGATGTGGTTGGTTTGTGTGAAGTTAGATGGACAGAAAGTGGAGAATTGGAGAAAGGTCATGGTCAGGCATAGAAACCGAGCATATTTATGGAGTGGTAATGATTCTTGGAAAAAAAGCAAAAAGAGCATTAATTGAATACAATCCCGTAAATGACAGGTTGATGTATGCCAGATTCAAAGGATATCCAAGAGACATTATTTTGGTAGTTGCTTATGCTCCAACAACAAATCTTTGTTGGGGACTGGAATGCTAAAATTGGAAGTGACAACATTGGATTTGAAGAAGTTATAGGAGAACACGGTTTAGGAGATAGAAATGGTAGAGGGGAAAGGTTACTAGAGTTTGTGAAGGACCGACGATAGTATGTCACAAACGCAAAAAGGCAAAACAACAACAAATGTACTTGGAAGTCACCAGACGGAAAATTAATGAACATGATAGATTTAATACTGATAGAATAGAAATGGATGAAATTTGTCACCCAATGTAAAGCTTTCCCAAGTGCAGAAATTGGATTAGATCATCGCCTTGTTTTATGCAACGTCACCATGAAGATAAAACAAAAGCTTAAAATGGGAGAAAGCATTAGGAAAGTGAGATACAACACAGAAATGATAAAGCAGAAGATGGAAGATATAAAAAATAAAATCGAACATGAATTGGACGCAGCGGCCAATTACGATATGAGAACAAGAGTTAGCAACCTAGAAAAAATTTACAAAGCAGCAGGTGAAAGTTGTAAAATCAAAACGAACAAAATAAAACCGTGGATAAGCGATGAAAGATGGAACCTTGTAGAAGAAAGAAGAAGTTTGAAAATGACAAAAAGACAGAGTGAAGAAAATAAGATGAATAACAAAGAAGTCTGCCAAAAAAAAAAGAGTGCTAGAGCAGATAAAAAAAGATGGATTAATGCCATTAATGGTAAATGTGAAAAGGTGGAGACGATAATTGAGCAAAACAAGACAAGAGAGGCGTACCAGTTGGTTAAACAGTTAAAAGGAAAACAGAAAAATATGTCAAGGATTATTAGAGATAAAAACGGAAACATCCTAACAGAAAGTAAAAAGATTAAAAATAGATGGACTGAATATATTGTTATAACCGTGCTACCGAACGCACTAGATTCTAGCGTATTCTAGAATGTTCTAGTGACTGGAGCATTCTAGAGTATGCTAGAATCGGGCCATCGAGAAGAATCTAGAAACGACGCTTGCGAAGAGTATAAAAGCGCACGTCGCAAGATATTCGTGATGAGTGAAATTCGTGATTTTGTGATTTTGTGAATAGCGATTCGGTGAATTATTTAAAGCGATATTTGATTTGTTTGTTGACGTTGTCATAGCGATAGATTTTGAAAGATTTAAAAGTTAATTGTTGCGTTAGTGCGAATTTACTGGAAATAAACGATTAGTTGATTTCTTCTGTAAATAAAGTTCAATAACTAATAATAGTTGATTTCTCCTGTAAATAAAGTTTAATAACTAATAATAGTTGATTTCTCCTGTAAATAAAGTTTAATAACTGTTTGGAATATTTTATTCAATCGAGGATTTGAACCCGTCGCATCGTAAATCGGTTACGACAGCGAATATTATAACATTGGTGTCAGAAGTGGGATCTTCCACCAGCGAATTACTACTCAGAAAAAAAGAACACGATGTCAAAACTGTGTGGTTTGAACGTAGTTCAGCTACGAGAAGAACTACAGAAACGAAGCCTTGTCACAAGTGGCAACAAAGAAGTACTAGTAGCACGTCTGAGAGAAGCTCTCATTGACGAATGTAAGAACCCAGACGAATTCAAGTTTGATGGTGCTGATGAGGACAATGAAATTAGCACAGGCACGTTTACAACCGCTAAAATGATGGAACTTCTGCTTAGTATGTCAACTGAAATGAAACAGATCAAGGAACAGTCCGAACGACAGACAGAGGAGTTAAAACAGATCAAAGAACAGTCCGAACGACAGTCCGAACGACAGACAGAAGAGTTAAAACAACAGATCAAGGAACAGTCCTAACGACAGACAGAGGAGTTAAAACACGTAAAATTGGAAGTGGCAGAACAGATTGAAGAACAGTCAACAAGAATAGAAATGATCGAGCAGAAACTTGATCGTCAGACCGTTGAGGTAGATCACAAGATAGACAAATTGAAGCGAGAATTGGAGCAATCCCAAAAAATGGCCATGCCGTTAGATCACGCATCCGGAAGAACTTTGAAGGTGCCAGCATTTGACGGAGAGATGTCCTGGAACGTTTATAAAACCCAGTTCGAAGCAGCGGCAACTAGTAACTGTTGGAACGGAAAAGAACGAGCAACAGCACTGATACTGGCCCTGCGAGGTTCAGCAGCAGAGGTTCTTCAGACGATTCCGGCGGAGAACCACTTCAACTATGAAGTTCTGGTTAGCGCGTTGGATTTACGTTATGGTGAAGAACACATGAAACAGATTTATCGGTCTCAGCTTAGAAACAGAATGCAACGATCTGGTGAATCCATTCAGCAGCTGGCACAAGATATCGAACGGTTGACATTGCTGTCGTATCCGACATCAGACCCCGAGCATAGAGACGAAACTGCCCTGGATACGTTTATCAAAGCCCTTCGTGATTCAGAACTCAAGCAATCCCTTCTCTTGTCAGATAAACGAAAACTCAAGGATGCCGTTGCGCACAGTCTCACTTTTGAATCGGCAAAGCAAGCATCAAAAAGTGATGTACGTCTACGCCAAGTACATGAAGAATGCTCTTGCCAGAAGGTGGTTGTGAAACGCGAACCTCAACAGTACGGTGTACCCCAATGCTGGATTTGTGGTGAAAAAGGACATCTACGTCGTGATTGTAAACACCGCCGAAAAGATAACTACTGCCGAAATTGCGCGACAAGATGGCGCAAAAGAAGAGAAGATGATCCAGTATCACGATCGGCCCCTTCTAACGAAGGGGCGGAAAACTAATAAGAGCCAACTTTGTGGGGCAGAGGTTGGCTAGTAGAATTGACGCCCCCAGTACCGTAATTAACGTTTCCAGACAACATCGAAATCGAAACGACCTATGGCTGAACGGAAAAGTTGATCAACGAGAATGTGTAATTACAGTCGACACCGGAGCAACAAAATCGATTTTAAGATCTGATTTGGTACCCAATCTGAAGAAAGAGACTTCTAACAAATACATCCTTGGAACAGCTACCGGAGGAACAGCACCAGTCTATGGAAAGATTCTCCGTACTGTTCAGCTAGGCGACTTGTTATTCGAAGGTTCATTCTTAGTCGCAGATATCATCGACGAATGCATAATAGGTGTCGACTTTCTGACAAAATATGGGTTCAAAATTGACTTAGAAAAACGCATTTTTAGATGGAGAAATACAGAAGTGATAATGTGGGATAGCGACGAAAAATGCATTCGAGTGACAGTCGATTGTGACATAGAACTACCTCAATCATCTGAAAACATCGTATGGGGCAAGTTGAATTGCGATCCTGGGGGCCACCAGTTCTATTTGATAGAGCCAACCTCAACGACAAATGTACAGAACGCGGTCATTGGAAAATGCCTGGTAGAAGCGAACAAAAATGGTCTTATTCCTGTCAGAATAATGAATACCGCTAAACACACTATTAAAATTAAAAAAGGCGAGGAAATAGGTAATTGCCAATCAATAAATTTGGTGAAATCATTAGATGTGGAGCAACAGGAAAAGGTTCTACCAACTGACAAAGATAGACTCAAAGAACTTACCAAAAATCTACTGGATGAACTTAATTTGTATCAAGAAGACCGTCTAAAAGCCGAGGCGTTGATTGCTGATTTCGCAGACGTGTTTTCAACCGGTGACAATGACCAAGGTAAAACAGCTCTGGTAACTCACCGAATTGATACTCAGAATTCGAAACCGATCCGACAAGTACCACGACGTCTTCCTCTAGCAAAACAAACAGAAATAAACGAAATGATAACGACAATGCAGAATCAAGGCGTCATCGAACCGTCATCAAGTCCCTGGATTTCGCTAGTTGTTTTGGTAAAGAAGAAGGACGGCACTACCCGTTTTTGCGTTGATTATAGGAAGTTAAATGATGTGACTAAAAAGGACAGCTATCCGTTACCGAGGATTGATGACATCATGGACACCCTATCTGGCTCAAGTTGGTTCTCTACGCTTGATTTGAAAAGCGGATACTGGCAAGTAGAAATCGACAAGAACGATCGCGAAAAGACAGCGTTTTCTATCGGATCGGGGTTTTGGCAATTCACCGTCATGCCATTTGGATTGTGCAATGCTCCAGCTACATTCGAGCGACTGATGGAATGTGTATTGCAAGGTCTTAACTGGAAAACCTGTCTTGTCTATTTAGACGACATAATTGTTCTAGGAAGAACATTTGATCAACACGTCGAAAACTTACGTGAGATCTTCACAAGACTTCGGGTGGCAAATTTAAAGCTGAACGTTAAAAAGTGCAGGTTATTTTCTAAAGAAGTTAACTATTTGGGACATGTGGTATCTTCAGATGGAGTTCGAACCGATCCCAGCAAGATAGAAATTGTGAAAGACTGGCCAACTTCAAAGGATAAAAATGAATTGCGCAGTTTTCTGGGATTGGCAACGTACTATCGACGTTTTGTAAAGGATTTTGCAAAAGTTGCCAGACCTCTCCACCAACTTACCGAGAAGGACCGAGTTTTTAACTGGAATACCCTATGCGACTCAGCATTTGAAAAGTTAAACGTTGAACTATGTGATGCTCCTTTGCTAGCATATCCAGTTCGTGGCAAGACGTTTGTGTTAGATACTGATGCAAGTAACAATGGAATCGGAGTCGTCTTGTCACAGCATATAGACGGAGAAGAAAAGGTGCTAGCGTATTATAGCAGAGGATTCACAAAACCCAAACGAAACTATTGTGTGACCAGGAAGGAGTTACTAGCAATAGTCAATGCAACAAAACACTTCCACAAGTACCTTTATGGACAGAAATTTCTTCTCCGAACTGATCATGCAGCGTTAAGATGGCTCCTCAACTTCAAGGATCTTGAAGGACAGATGGCCCGATGGTTGGAGCGTTTACAAATGTACGACTTCGAGATCGTGCACCGCAAAGGAACAACTCATAGTAATGCTGATGCTCTCTCACGTCGACCATGTTTACCAGGATGCAAATATTGCTGTCGTCACAAGAAGATACAATCGGAAGACATAAGAGCAACAGCAATATCAGCGGATGACGGTTGAACACCGACGAATCTTGCTGATGCACAGTTTGCGGATGAGGACCTACAACATTTGATCACGTGGAAGAAGGAGGGCAAGCGACCGGACTGGCAAAGCATCTCAGAATATAGTGCCGTGTTAAAGGGTTATTGGGCTCAGTGGGACTCTTTGTATTTGGAAGGGGATTTGCTGAAACGAAAATGGGAATCAGCTGATGGATCAAAACACCGCATGCAAGTTTTAATACCAAGAAGTAGAACGACCGAAATCCTTGATGAAATGCATGGCGGCCCTTCTGGGGGACATTTAGGAGTGAACAAGACCCTTGACAAAATACGAGAAGGATTCTACTGGCTTCACGTTAGAAAAGATGTAGAGAGCTGTTGTCGAAAATGTAACACATGCGCTTCAGTCAAAGGACCCAAAAGAAGGCTAAAAGGAGCAATGCAAATCTACAATGTTGGTGTCCCCTTTGAACGGATTGCTATAGATATTGCTGGACCCTTTCTGGTATCAGATTGTGGAAACCGTTACATTCTGGTTGTAGCGGACTATTTCAGCAAATGGCCTGAGGTGTTTCCAATACCCAACCAAGAAGCATGTACCGTCGCTGAGGAAATTGTACTCAATTGGATTAGTCGATATGGTGTCCCATTGGAACTCCACTCAGATCAAGGTCGAAATTTTGAGTCACAACTGTTTGGTGAAATGTGCAAGCTGCTGGGTATAAACAAAACTCGAACGACACCTCTTCACCCACAGTCTGACGGTATGGTGGAACGAGTCAACCAAACCCTGATTGTTTTTTTTTTTTTTTTTTTTTAGGTTTTACGGCACTGCAGCTCCCAAGATGGTGCTATAATGTGCCAAAAATTGATGTATATTGATAATAATATTATTTTTGTTTATCATTACATTTTCTGTTTTATTTAAATTTGTCTTATTAGGGGAAATAATCTCATAATCATCACCGCCGACCGGGGACATTCCAATCAAACCACATCGAGCCACCATCTCGGAATTGAAGACCAGTAGTACTAGAAGTTGACGCCAGCAGGGGAGGGGAAAGTTCACCAAATCTGCGCCAGCCCCGCCAACCAATGACCCCAACCCCAGCGCACTCACCTGAATTCAATATAGTGCTTTTTTTTCTTTTTTAAATGAATTGGTGTCTGAGTCCGTACCATGACATTTTACCCTTAGCTGACACTCGAGATAACTTTGAGAAATATGTTTATTTCCTGTTTATGGCATTTGAGTCTCTACCATGGTAATTAGCCACAGCAGATTCTCGACATACCCCTGAGGAAAGAGCTTAAACCTCTTTATAGCATTGAGCCTCCACCATGGTATTTAGCCACAGCAGATTCTTTGAGGGAAGAGCTTAAACCCCTTTATAGCATTTGAGCATCCACCAAGGTTATTAGCCACAGCAGACTCTCGACATACCTTTTAGGGAAGCATATATTTTCTCCGTATCTCATTTGAGTTATCACCATGAGGTTTGTCCACGGCAGGACCCTGACACGCTATCAAGGATGGTTATTAATTTGTGTTTTTACATAAGCATGAGTAGATTATTATTCTTCTATATATTTATACAGGTGAGTACCGCAAAGCAAAAGCCATTCATCAGCAAAAAAAATTGGATTATTGACCAGTGCCCATCCCCCTTCCAAAGCATCGCCACCCCAACACTTCTAGCCACAGTGTAACCATTAAATCTACATCCGTATTTGTTGTAATTCGAGAAAAAAAAATGGTGGATACGTGATTAAGTACATTGATATGCATATAATCTAAGCTTATTTGGCTTAACCCAGACTCCGCAACAATGTCCCGACATGGCCCAACTAAAATTATCCCCGCCCAACAGCATGGTTTCTAGAGATATTTTTGTGTATTTTATATTTTATCATAGTAATCTAAATCTTTTAGATATTCTATCATTAAGATGGTATTTTCTTTTTTTTTTAAAATGTCATTCAGATTATCAGGTAAGAATAGGGAATTCCTTTTTTCTTTTGTTTCACTGCAATTAAATATATGTTTTACAGTTAATTTATTATTACAAAATTGACATATTGGTATTTCTGTTTTGTTTAGGATATAGTTGTGGGTGTGACTAGTATGACCTATCATGATTCTATAAATTTTACTTAATGTAAATCTACTGTTAAATGTTTTAATATTTGTTGTTTCAATATATGGATGTATTTGTTGAAGATGCGTTTTTGTTTGATCCCAATCGATTTGCCATAAAGTTTTAAGATATTTTGTTATGTTTGGTTTCAAATCGGAATGTGGAATTTTAATATCTATAATAGGGATGTGATGGGTTTTTATTGCTAATGTGTTAACATTTTCATTGCCACGTATCCCTATATGGCTGGGTATCCATACTATCTGAATGCTAAATTTATTTTGTATTAATTTATGTATTTTGATTTTCATGTTTTTGATCAATTCATTGCTTATTTCAATTTGTTTGAGAGCTAGTACAGCTGATAAAGAATCTGTCATTATGATATATCTTTTATTGTTTTCATTTTTTAGATGATCTAATGCTAAATTAATTGCCTGAAGTTCTGCTGTATAAATTGATGTATTATTTGGCAAATGCTGTTGGATCTGTTGTTTATCTATAATAACTGCAGCGGATGTAGATTCATTTATTTTAGACCCATCAGTGTATATAATTGTATGATTCTTATGTTGAAGGAGAAATTCATTAATTAT